TGGGAGTTGGCTCAACAGCCTTCTCCAACTCACGTCACTTTATTGGTTTTATTCACTGATTCTCCGCTTTGCTTTGTGGTGTGTCCCATATAAACGTATTCATTACTACGAGTTCACCTTCTGATATATAACCGTCATACGCTACTTTGTAACGATTGTCTAGACGAGCTTAAGATCACGCAGTAGACAATCTATAATTATCCTTGTTTTCTGTGTACAGAACTAACTTAACCAGTAAAACTCCCATTAAGAAATGTACGCTTTTTGTTTTCTGTTCAAAGATTATATGTAGGCTTTTTTTGAAGGACTAGGAAGTAACTAAAAGATACTTGTCAATTGTTCAAGTACTGGATATATTAATCTGAATAATAATAATAATAATAATGAAATAACATATTTCAAAAATAGTCATTCAATGGACTACATCAGTCATGCCCATAAGGAAGATTTTTGTCAAATATTCATTTTAAAACATGTAGTAAACATAGCTGATCTCTGTTCATAGTTAAGTTTATAATATACAAGAGGTGTTAACTAACCTATTGGTATTCAGGAAAAGTCAAAATAGCCATTAGTGTTTCATTTGAAATTATCCACTTTATGTTTGTAGGCAATTTAACGCTGTAACTTATTTGCGGGTAGAATATGCGCACACTTGACTGTTTGTAGATTTTATGAATGTACAATTCGTTTACATGGCAAGATATTTATTTCATGGCGAATAAAGTTGATCATCTAAAATCTTTTTCTGTCATGATAATCATTAGAAATCCAATGGTAGTTCCAGTTGCAAGCATGGCGGAACATTTCTATTTCTATTAGATCATATTAATAAGGCATGTTCGCTTCGTGCAAATTTTGTAATTTACATTTGACCTTTTAGAGAGATAGATGTATACTGTCACTGTTGAACACAATGATGTAGAATAATAAGTTTTTTGTTTTTTTTAGTTATGCAAAATCACTGACCCGATATAATATATATATCGTGTAATGAATAAGTTCATTCCCAGTAATTATTGTTAAAATGTATGCATACGCATGCGTTAACATATTCTTTTCATTAGAAAAAGTCAAGAAAATTAAGTAACTAATGGAAAATAATAATCTTTGTGCCTAATATTAGACAGATGGATTTTTGCGAAGTAATTTGTCAAAATGAGAAATGTTTTTTTTTTATCTAAGAAGGCAATCGACAATAATGATCATCGTAGATATATATATGTATATATATGTTTGCAAATAGTTGTCATGACAAATAATGAAGTTATATGCATTTAATATCTAATATATGTATATTGTTTTATATATTACTATAAATTATATGTGTACATATATATATATATATATACTACTACTACTACTACTATTATGTTTTCACCATCCTATTCCATTATATAGTTTGAATAATTAATTAAACGTAATTATTAATGCTATCGGAAGAATTCAAGAATAAATGAAAATAACTTGAAAGCCTTTCTTTGTCTTGACTTTCTTGTTTAGTTCTGATAAGCATTTATAGTTTATTTATTTATTTTTTTTATTGGCTATCTAAATTGTCAATGAAATGAAAGTTGAGTATTCATGCAGAAGTGTATTTTTGCTGCTCTATTTCATTCTGTTTTTCTTTTTCATTTATCATTGTTCTCCTCCTTTTATCAAGAAGCAATCTTAATTACAGATTTAAGTTGCCACTATGCATATAATCATATACTGACTGCATTAATGTCAGCCTTATCATATATATATATATATATATACTATTCACTGTTGACTACAACTTCGCATCACGTAAAGCGAAATTCTCCTTATCTCTTCATTCACTTTGAAAAGGGATTACGGTGTTGTATTTCATTTTAGAATTTAAAAAGAAAAACACACCTAGATAAATGTTTGTCTCGTGAGAAACTAGAACTTATACTCCATGACAATGTACAGATAACTTTTCATGACACATGTTAAATTATCATCATCTTTTAGAATGAGAACACTAACAACAACAACAACTATATATATCTAGATTGTGTTTAGTTTATGAACTTGATTAAAAAAACTGTAACTTGTTTTTATAGTTAGAATTATTTCAGTCAGTGTAAAATTAACAATCTCCATTTTTGTTTGTCAATCAATCGAATCGAATCGAATCGCGAAATCTGGGTTGAAAGGAAAAAGAAGCAAGAGTTAATGATCTGTCACATAAACACCCACACACATACACACAGAGACACGGACACAAATAACAACTTCAGATAATTTATCATTGTGGGGTCTAGATGAACTCACAGTTTAATGGATCACTTCTTCTATCCCTCATGTTTAATTGTTGTTTATTTCAATCTAATTAGTTTGTTTTGTTTTGTTTTTTTGTATTTTGGAGAGTGAGTTTGTTTTGTTTTCGCCATTGTTTCCCACTCCCCCCACCCCACGAAACTGTTTAAGTAGTTAATCAGTGTAAACATATGAACTGCAATGTACCTGACCTACCTTACAGTTGTTTTCATTTGATTATGAAGATAGTATTTTGATTTGGCGACAACTAATTCAATGGGATGTATTTTTTTTTGGATGATAGCATTGTAATAGTTTTTATCTTCATAAATATATTGTCGCTGCTAGCAGCCGAATCCAGGACGATAATCTATGCCACTTAATATATTTGAATATTAACAACAGGATAATTTATGGTTTCTGAATGTTTAATTTTTTTTTCTATCTAATATACATTAATATTAATTTCATTCTGATTTGATACCTGCGTTTCTCTACTTTGTTGACCTTATGTATTACGGTTACTTTCAGGATATTTAACTCCTTTGGAAATGCATACAGTTATGATTCATTTTGTATTACAGTTACTGATTGACCATCTGATGATAGATATGTAGTTTGGTGGTTTAACAATAGATTTACCACAAACTGAACTCTAATCTGAATAGTTATCAATAGCCAAAGAGTTCTAGTTATGCATTTCGTTTTAATTTGAGGTGATATCTAACATAGAATTTACAAGTCTTCCAGGGAATACAGTAGATTCAAATAACTGAGTTGAAATCCATGCCACATATAGTTGACCATCATTCACTGTCATCAATTTGCAACTATTTCATTGTTAATTATGTTCACTCTTGAAATTGAAGTCACCACCAGCAATTGGAGAAAAATTCAAATCGAAGCCAGTCATTAGAATACCGGTACTTAGTCTTAAGTTTGTTTTTACTCAATCTAAAGTTGTTTTTCTCTCCACACCTATACACAGGTATATATTTTTGGTGATTAATATTTCCTACAGAATATTCAGAAACACCAAGCTATGGAGTTACACGTTCATAACTGTTGTGTTACAAAGTCCGAAATAAGTCATACCAGGGAATTAGACAATGATTTGCGTTAAAAACTGTGTTGGAACTTCGCATATCTGTTAAGTCATAACTACTTCGTCAGTATGTTATTTGTAAGTAAGAATGGTCATTTACAAACAACATAATCATAATAAATAAAATTATGTCAATGGAATTCATAGTAGGAGAAAATTTGTCTGATTAGTGTAGCCTAAATATTGCCATAACATTGTATGAATACATGTCGTAAGAGAGGGTTTTTATAATAAATTCATGTAAATTGAGCAAGAGGCGAGCAGATTGAATCACACGAAGAAAGATAGAAAAGATAAGTATTTTGCACTCTTTAGTTTATGTACATGAGGATCCAGTCGTGGATCATCATCGGGAACACATAGGCTAAGTATTCCACTTTTGGTTACGTTTTCTGTAATTTTCTTCAACTTTGTGGAAGAGTTGTATACATATATATATTTATGCACGTAATTTCAATTACTTGACCATGTAACTTTCAATGGTTTTATACTGATTCTTGTAAGCGTAAAATATACTAAAATTTTAAACTTTGCTGAAAATGATCGTGATTTGTTTTATTCCAAAAAAAAATATCATTCCATATTGAACTTCACTTCATTTAGAGTTTTTCTGAATAATTATAGATTTTTGTTAAAGGGGTGTTAAATTTTTTCTTCGCAAACTCTATTGATTTAATAATTCAGTAAAAATTAAATAAAGTCGATATGCCACATTTATTCTTTTCCTCTTCCATAGTTTTCATCAAAACGAAGTTATTTGAAGTTTTTTGTATTTTAAAATGAAATTGGGAATTTTAATTGTTTTAATCGTCCATTTTCTTTCAGACCTAAACACTCAAATCTTCAAACCAATACTTATTGAATGAAAATACTATTTTGAATTATTGTTTATTTTAGGTATAGAGTTTATCATAATCTTTAGTCTATACAGGTGTTGTCATACAACTAATCAAATATATTTACACTTTTAGTATATTTCAAAAATTAAAAAATTGATTGAGTTCGGTCAGTGTGTAGTGAATGAGAACACAGGTGGGGCAACCGAATTTTATTTAGCGAAATTACAGAGTTACTCAGTAAAATTGGAAAACCATATCGTAAATCGTTAATTTGCAAAATATCAGTTCATCATATCGAACTGGACTGTTCCTGTTGCAAAACATCAATCCATTGTCACTATTCATGAGTTTCATACAAATTCCATTGTTTTCTAACTCTTCCTTTCTTGATCTTCCCCCCATATTATGCTGCCAGACATTACGTTGACGCTCACGTCATATACTACTTATAAGTAGCTCACACCACAAGTGGTGATCGTTGGAATCGGACTCATTTAATGAATCCATCTGTCTCTACGTTGAGATATTTCTGCATTATTTTAGATGTACGAAATTACCAGACGGTTGTGAGTTTTATGGAAATAATCGACGTGAAACAATCAGTAGACTTTTATTATAATACTGTGGAGTCGATAGCACGTAGTATTAACAGTTTTTGTTAGTCGTTCTTTAGGCGGTCGCGACTGATTGTTTGGACATTTTTTTTCTAGATTCTTGATGATTCCTTGTGATTATGGTTAACTAAAAGTCATGTATTGATTTTCTTGGTTGTTTGTTTTTCTAAATAGGAAATTCGGCCCAGAGGCACTACAAAGAGAACTTTTCAAAGAACTACTTTTTATATCCAATCGTAATCTTGGAAGAGATGATCGGTAAGTTTGTTTATTGGTTGGTCGTTTACTATAGTGTGTTTTACTTTTTATTTGTTCTTTTACCTTATATCGATGCTGTTTTATCCATTGAACTGTTCCTAATGTATATTACACGTGGAGTAGTGACTCAGTAATTAATGCAGCCAACTTTCTCTTTGTGAGATAATAGACAGGGAAGATTAACACCACGAGTCTAGTTTATGTTGTTCATAAACTATGGGGTATTCATTCAATCACTTCCTATCTTGATGGTTTCGAAAGTTATGTAAATTGTACTGAAATCGGGTAAATATTTATGCATTCATCTGACTTCATTAAGAAAATGTGTAGTGAACGAGAACACAGGTGAGGGCAACCGAATTGTATTCAACGAAAATTACAGAGTTACTCAGTAAAATCGGTAAACCGTACCGTAAATCGTTAATTTGCAAAATATCAGTTCATCCTTTCGAACTGGACTGTTCCTGTTGCCAAACATCAATCCATTCATGCGTTTCATACGAATTCCATTGTGTTCTAACTCTTCCTTTCTTGATCTTCCCCCATATTATGCTGCCAGACATTACGTTGACGCTCACGTCATATACTACTTATAAGTAGCTCACACCACAAATGCATTGTTCCACGAGATAGCTACGGAGATTCTTTGTTTTTTAAAAGCACCCAACTTATATTAATTCGTATGTCTTATATAATTCACATAACTTGACAAAAACATTATCCGAATAGTGCGTTATTGGTTTCTTTTAAACAAATGTTATTTTTTAGTGTTGGGACTAGTCAATATTGATATCATGTGTTTTATGAAGTAATAATGGTTACTTAGTTTTTTTTTTAAATTTTTAACGTAATATACTAGATTCTAGTCATTCTAACTTGTTCATTTTGTCACCACATATGATACTTTGGTTTTTCATGTACTACATTTTATGAAATGAATTTAACCAAATTTTACTTCATTTTGATTAAAATCAATCAGCTACAACGTAGAACTTGGTACGTACGTACATCAGTTCAAGTTGCCATACCACATAAGCACACAGAGATGAAATTGTCAATTTAAATCCCATTTCGGTAGACGTAGTAGCTGTATTAGCCGATCGAAGAAATTATTCAATCATTATAATCCAGTGAAATAAATTTAAAAAGTGAAAGATAGAGGTGATGAGGAATTCAGAAGATTAGAATTTCAGGAAACACAAAGAATGGATGCACGTGTCCCATTGCAAACGATTTTGAGCCATATCTTTCAAACTCTCTAACCATCGGGTTCTACTATCGTCACCGTTATGATCAAATTATAGTCATTATAAAATCACATCCATCACATTGAGTTGATTTTATTTAGATTTATAATTTGTGAAAAATCAATAGTAGCAATTTCCGTACTTATACTTCTTGTGGATTAATTCATTCATTAAACCGAGTGCATTCAACCGTCTTACATCAGTTGATGATTACCAACTAACCAATCAACTCCTCAATCTTCACTAAGGACTAAGTAAAATGGCTCAATATTCGACTCAAATGTCAACATTTTGTTGGCTTTCACTACATCTACTAGCTGATATCATATTAGAATAAATGTTAAGGAAGTAGTGCTGAACTTAGTATCTGTTTAAGTCATTTTTTTCGACACGGGTAAATAGCACATGTCCAATTCGTTTCGTCTGTTTTTAAGCATCGTACTGCAGGATCTCACCATTTATTCTTTTTACTTCAGTGATTAATCGTTTTTAAATTATTCGATAAATGTATCTACTATTTTTTAATACTTGTCATAATTCAATTACAGTATCGATTATTGTATATTTGATTGTGTGTGGATGCTTATTCGCTTATCACATGTCTAGATTATTATTGCCTAACTATAAATACTTAGTCATCGCTTCAACGCAGGGGGAGTTGACTTGACTCACTCGTCTTCTCCAATTCGCCTCACTTTGTTGTGCTTGTAGTCTTTCCATTCTCATGTGCGGCTGCATAGATGAATGCATGAAATAAATTAATCCGCTACACCGTATTCGCATGAACGGGGTTTGCCTGACTATGATATACAAAAGTGGACAGGAAGATTTATATTTCATTGCACCCTTGATCAGTCGTCCACATTGGAGTCTAGTCGTGAGCCGCCAAATGGCCTTTGTGTGTTACTGATACCTATCTTAATGCATGAGACTGACTGATAATATAAAGGTGGTAATTAACTCTTTCAATTCTTACCGCCTAAATTGTCTTTAAATCAATTAATTTTTTCTTTACTTTTACTATGTGGTTTCAATTAACATGTTTCCATAAATAATCCTTTTTAACTTTGTGATATTTAAATTTTTTTTGGTCAGTAAACAGAATAAAAGAGGGAGAGAGAGAGAGGTACAGGTAGAGTGATAAGCAAATTCTAGCAATATATATATATATATATTATTAGGGCAGTTTTTTTGGTACTCATTAATCATTTCAATTTTTCGTTTATATAAAGATATATATATATATATATATATATATATATATATATATATTTGTCATGTTTTTATTTTGTTGGAAAAAGATGAATTGTAAAAGTAAATTTATCGACTAGCATTTCGTTCCCTTTATATATATATATATACATATATATATATATATATATATATATATTAATTTTGAATATTCTTTATGAGAATATTAACAATAAATTATAAATTCCAGCAATACACTATTACTTTTACGAGAGATGATAGAAATAATTTATTTATTCAGTTTTAAATGTGTGGCAAATTAGATTTCTGACGTTTCGTGACTTAGTGTGTTAGGCACTTTTTTTTTTTTCTGAAATTGTAAAACAAATTACAATTTAAATGAACACATGTTTAAAATAGTACACAGAATACGCAAAACATAATGCTTCGAATACAATCGAAACGAAAATTGCTCTGACCATGTTGATATTATAGTCATGTTGGTTTAGGTTGCGTGTCATTGTGTTTGTATGTGTGTGTGTGTGTGTGAAAACTGTGATATGTAAGAGGATATATTTATGTGTGTTTGCTAACAACGCTGTGAGCTGTGGACAAAATTTATTGTGTGAATAAATGGTCTACGTTGGCTGGATCATTAGGCCTCTTCCATTCTGCTGAGCTCTGTAGGGGTTTAATAAAAATATGAAAAGTTTCAACCACTCACCGTTAGTTATCAATTAGAAAATACATTTTCAATGATGTTGATACTATGAATATCAATTTGAAAAAGTCATCATGTACTTCTGTTCGTGATCTGATTCGTAGATTTGTTTTTAGTTCTACAAGATTATTTGAATGTTCTTTAGCACGAGTTATTGATTGCACAAGGGGACTTTCCACTATAAAATGCATTACAATTTCAAAACAGTGGTTCCCTTTGATAAATTTGAATAGAGAAATAAGAAGATAAATTTTGTGAGATAGTACCATTTCGTGCTTTCTCGTCAGTCACATACAAGCAACATGTTATTTGTGTAAATACAGTTTTGAAGATAAGGTCAAAATTTCTTATTTAACATGACATTCACTCACTAGAACCATGGTAAACAAAGGTCAACATACAGTTGTTTTTGAACACATAAAGTTGGACTTTTCCTACCAATCAAGATAGCTTCGAGTAGTTTCAGTGTGTGTGGGTTTTGATTACATGTCACAACTCTAAAGGCTGATTTTGGGTCAATTTGATGACCACTCATCATTAGATGTTTTGCAATGGACGAGGCTGGGTTTCTTGATCGATTTTGAAATGATGGGCTAGGTTGATTAATCATGGATTTGATTAACCATTTTGGAATATGTTCCCCTATCCTGTCTTCCAATCGGCGATCTGTCCTCCCTAAGTAACTTTCTCCGCAGTTACATGTGAATTGGTAAATACAGTGGGATTTGGACTGAATCGGTCTTGGAGACTTGATTGGGGTAACTGAGATCGATTTGCATATTCTAGCTGACATAGCGTGTTGAAATCATAAAGAGTTTACATTTTATTTGCACTAAGCATTTCATAGTGTTGGATTTTTCTTCATAGAATATACTTTAGTCCTGCTTGATCTAACGGTTTGTTGTATTTTTCCTGTTTTTATGTTTACCAATAGACTGTAATATGAATTAGCAGCATAGTAAGAATAAGACAATTTTACTCATGTGCATAATTGATATTAGTTCTACTTAAAGAAGAATACAATGAGTTTTGAAAAAAGGGATAAAACTAGCAACAAACTATTTTCGAGATTAAATCCATTTGACATAACTATGAAAGCGTTAATTACTTTTCTTCATTTTTCACTAAGGAACTAATGTAAACTAATAATTTATTCACAAAAAAGCAACCAATAACTGAATAGAAATGGCGTCAGTGACTGAGATATTATTAACTTTTTATAAATTCCAATGTCTGTTTTGTACACAGGTTACGGCATTGCATTGTTAGTTTCTATATCAGCAAGAAATTCTACTAATTAGCTAAAACAAAAAATTCATCATACCTCATCATAACATTCACCACTGGCGCTCCATTCAGACTAGTAATAACTTGTAATAATTCAATCGATTGGACAGTAGCGTTAAAACTGGTCAGCAGGACATTCATTATCTAGTATAAAACAATACAAACAAGACTTATATTTTTTTCGATACCTATTAACTAGCTTAATTGTGTTGTGCTCACATATCCTCTCATCCAGTTGCCCATTGTCATTGTGAGTTTCTCATCACTTCAATTTACGTGTTTTTTTTTTTTATTGTTTTCCGATTTATCCTACTGTTGTCTGTCTTCAATTGTCCAGCAACAATTTCAAATGAACTGATGTAGAGTTGTGAAACAAAAAATGTTTTTTCTTTCTCTACTGCTTTACATGTGTTATTTCCTGTTCTGGTTTCTTTTTTTGTATATCAATATAAAAAAAAACTATTTATCGATTGTCGTTTGATGAATTATATTCCGACATAAAATCTACCATTCATTCTCCTATCCATAAAACTGTCGTGACACAGAATCCTTGT